ATCATGGTTTCCACTTCCTTTTCACGTGCTACCGGCAACCTTCTTGGCCGCTGACGGATTGACAATTCTTCTCCTGTGTTTATTTTGTGTTGAACTAAGCCGGTCTTCCCTATGTCAGCATCGTTTGACGAGAATACATCGGCGTACTTGAGTAACAACTTCTTCGCCTTGACCATTTTATTCTGGGAGAGAACTCTGCGACAGTCATCTTCAACCTTCGCTACGTGGATTCAAAGTGCCGCCGTTCGACGGGACTTCTTCCTGGTCGGCCTACAAAATCCAGTTCGAGGCCGTCATGGAGGCGAACGGCTGGAATAAAAGCCAGCTCATGACTGCACTCACCCTAGGCCCGCGCGACCAAACCTTAACTGTGTTGGAAGCTCTCAGTAAGAAAGTGACCTACGAGCAGCTCCTTGAGGCATTGGAGGCGAGATATGGCGACGCTCACCTGAAATACGTCTTTCGTGCGCCGCTTAAAGATCGCGTGCAACGCAGCAACGATAACCTGCAGCAGTGGGCCCTTAAGGTGGAGAAGATGGTTCGAAAAGCATACCAGTCTGTACCTGAGCTCAATGAAGAAAACCTGGTGCAGACATTCATCGACGGCACCCGTGAATTGAAGTCAGAGCTGCTGCGAGGCTCGGACACCACGAGACGCTTAAGGACGCTTTGGCCCATGCACTGGAGGTGAAAGCCGTGCAGCAGAATCTTTGCTCCCATCGCGTCAGGAAGGTTGCGGCAGCTACAGTTCGCGACCGCAATAAAGGATATAGCCCTAGGTGCTATGGCAGTGGAGAAAGGGCCATCTTCGATCCAGCTGCCCTAAGCGAACCGTAGAAAGGGAAGGTGACCGATATCAGGAGGATGATGCGGCTATCAGCCTCGCCCAGCAGCAGCAGGAAAACGAGTAAAAGCCAGAATTGCGGGGTGGGTGCTGGCTGATATTAAAAGAGCCCAACTATTTCGATCTCACAAACCCATAATGGGAACAGTCTAATCATCAAGGCCGAGGTTAACCGAATGCCGTGTAAACTGACCATAGACACTGGAGCCTCTCGCACGGTTGTTAGTTTCCAACTTATAAGACAGTTCCTTCGGGACTCTGCATACAACCGAGAACGCATTAATTTGGTAACAGCCACCAGTCAGCGTATACCCGTCCGTGGAGAGAAGGAGATGGAGTTGAAGCTAGGCAACATACCTGCATAATATCATCGTGGCTGATATAATGGACGACTGCATCCTGGGCCTAGACTTCATGACGAAGAATTGTTGTGAGATTGACGTTAAGCAAGGTGTTTTGAAATGTGGACAAGAGGAACTTTTCGTGGAAGGGGCGTTACCAGGGAACGTGTACAGCCTTAAAAAGATTGTTCTTCCGCCGAGATCGGAAACGATTATGGCGGTTAGTCTTCCTCGGAATCCTGGGAAAACTCATCTTTGTGTACTTGTGGAAAGGTTAGACAATGACTTTCCATGGAAAGTGGCTCGAACCTTGGTCAGAACCACTAACATCACAGGAGTACGTATGCTGAACCTTTGTGACCAGGAACTGATTATAGAGAAAGGCACACTGGTAGATACTGGTGAGGAAGTGGATTGGTTGCGTCAGTGCCAATATCTATCGTCTGGGACACCCAGTAAGGGTGCACAAATGAGAGTGTCTCCCACACTTTTAGATGACTGTGACTGTGGCAAGTTGAAATTCACCCTAAGAACAAGGAGAAAACTGCGTTCTTGACGGGAAAGCGTCTGTGGCAATTTAAGGTAATGCCGTTTCGGTTGCGCAATGCTCCAGCAACGTTTGAAAGGTTGATGGAACTTGTACTTACCGGGCTAATTGGCGATTCCTGTCTGGTCTACTTGGATGACATCATCATCGTAGGCCGTACGTTTGAGGAACACCTTCAAAACCTGGAACGCGTGCTCATGAAGATTCAGAGTACCAACCTCAAGTTAAGTCCGAAGAAATGTTTACTATTCAAACGGCAAGTTAACTTTTTGGGGTATGTAGTGTCGGAAGAAGGTATACAAACGGATCCAGAGAAAATCGCCGCTGTCAAAGATTGGCCGGTTCCAAAAGACAAGACGCAGGTTAGAGCATTTTTGGGTTTTTGCTCCTATTACCGGCGATTTGTGAAGAACTTTGCAGATATAGCCAAACCTCTGCACAATCTAACCGAGGAAAAGTGACATTTCTGCTGGGACGAAAGTTTCGATATCGCATTCCAGGAGCTCAAGGACCGTCTTTGCAAAACACCTATATTAGGGTACCCTGATACAGGCAAGGAATTTATAGTTGACACAGACGCAAGTGATACAGGACTCAGCGGTGTGTTGTCTCAACGGAACTGTGATTGAGAGGTTGTGATAGCGTACTTCAGCAAGTCGTTGTCAAAACTGGAAAGGAACTATTGTGTCACAAGACGCAAATTGCTAGCTGTGGTAAAGTCGTTGCAGCATTTTAGCAATTATCTTATGGGGCGGAAATTTCACTTAAGAACTGACCATGCTGCACTAAAATGGCTATTGCAGTTTAACAATCTAGAAGGACAAGTTGCAAGGTGGATTGAACTACTGCAGGAAATACGACTTTGAGATCGAACATCGCAGCGGGAAATCTCATGGCGACGCAGATGCATTGTCAAGAAGACCTTGACTTGAAGATTGCAAACATTGTACTAGGCAAGAGAGTAAGGAAGTGGTATCCGTGAGGATGCTCAGGATAGACCACCTCAGCAACGAGTGGAAAAACAGCTTACAACATGCACAGCAGGAAGATCCGAACATCAAGCCGATTCTGGAATGGATGAAGGCCAGTGCTTCCAAGCCCAAGTGGAGTGACGTCTCAGCGATGATTTCGACCACTAAAGGTTATTGGGCCCAATGGGACAGCTTGCTGCTTCAGGATGGAGTTCTGCGCCGTAAATGGGAAAATGTTCGGGGAGACAGCTGTCATTTGCAAATGGTTGTCCCTAAATCTAAAGTACCGGATGTTCTACAGCTGTACCATAATGATTTTTCAGGAGACCATCTGAGAGTTAAACGAACTCTACTGAAGATCCGTGAACGGTTTTACTGGGTCCACTGTCGAAACGATGTCGAGGACTGGTGTCGCAAATGTACAAGTTGTGCGGCTGTAAAGGGACCTCAGACTCGTAGTAGAGGTGCATTAAAGTTGTACAATGTTGGTGCACCATGGGAGAGAATAGCCATTGACGTAGCGGTGCCGTTTCCGGAGAGTGAAAGTGGTAACAAGTATTTCATGGTTGTGATGGATTACTTCACTAAGTGGCCAGAAGTCTTTGACATTCCAAATTAAGAAGCTTCAACAGTTGCAGATAAACTAGTTCATGAAGTCTTCTGTCGGTTTTGAGTACCTTTAGAGATTCACAACGATCAAGGAAGGAATTTTGATTCTCAAATATTCCAGGTAACTTGCCGAGTTATGGGTACTCATAAAACAAGAACGACTTCTTATCACCTGCAATCTGATGGAATGGTAGAACGATTTAATCAGACATTGGAGAGGTACCTAGCAAAAGTTGTAGACAATCGGCAACGAGATTGGGACAAGCACATACAACCGTTTTTGTTGTCATATCGAAGCGCTGTTCACGAAAGTACATCAGTGACACCAGCTTTCGCAAACTTTGGAAGAGAATTACGGCTGCCTGCAGACCTGATCACCGGGATACCACCTGATGCCCCACGCAGTATAACCGATTATGCAAATGACGTGCGGAACAAAATGAATGAATGACATTTATGAGCACGTCAGACAATCGAGCCAGCAAATGTCCGAAAGATGAAAACCCGGTATGACCGCAAAATGAACAAAAAAGGGTTCGACGAAGGTTCACTAGTGTGGTTGCACAATCCAGTCCGCAGCAAAAGGAAATCTCTTAAGCTTCAAGCTAAATGGGACGGCGCATACCGCATTGTGACCAGGATCAACGATGCAACCTACCGGATACAGAAAGGCGCAAGAGGGACTCCTAAGATCGTCCATGTGAATCGCTTGGCGCGTTATTATGTGGCCGATAATGCTCGGGACGAACATGTCTTAGGAGGAGGCAGTGTTGCGCGCCTAAGTTGCCGTCTGGTACCTGGCACTAGCGTCATCTAGTGTCAGGGACCAGAGCGAGGAAGGCTTCCTAGAAAATGTCAATCTTGAACTTTCCACCGACAGCGCCATCTAGTTTCGAACAGAAGAATTAAGCTTTCTAGAAGCCCCACACTCGAACTTTCTGCGTCTGGTCAGTTGGCGCCCGTATTTACTAGAATATTCTGGATGTTTCGGTGTAAAAGGTGTATTTAAAGCCGCTGCAAGCCACGATCGAGGCAGTATTGAATTTGGCGAGACAAGCGAAGCTTCGGAGCGAAATAAAGTGAATCAGTGTGATTAATTATTAGTGTTTTAAGTTTTAATTGGTGTTCGGTAATAAAAGTGTAAATTTTGGTAATTCAATCGGCAGTTTTTACTGTCACGAACCTCAAGCTCATAAGAGTACGTTAAGCCGTAAATATTTTGGTGCCACAGTTCACTGGTTTACGAAGACAGTTATTTGAACGGATAGCCCTCACTGGGATGGATTACTAATGTACTGTACTTACTGTAAATTAGTAATCCATAATGTAAGAAAAAAAGAAGGAAGAAGAAAAGTAATCTATGGCGGGAAGGCATTTAATTGAGTATTGAGTGGAACTATTTATAATAATAATAATAATAACACTGACGTAACAGTTAAGTGACAAAACTGCTACGTCAACGCAGTTAGTCAGCGCCTTGCGAGAGGTGTGAGCGTCTGCCTGGAGGTCGCCAGGGCGCGTCTGGAGCTGGCGCTGGACGTGACAGCATGCGAGCCGCAATACGAGCGCGGGGTGCTGCAAGACCACCTAGCAGGCCCCCGCATCCATCGACCTCACCAGAAGGCTTGGTGTCGGCTGGGTCTTCTCGGAATCAGCAATCGGCACCCGCCGCTGTTGGAGCACGTCGCATGCGTTGGTCACAAATAATGAACAAAAACGCACTGCGGGCGTACTTTAGGGCTAAAGGGGATGAAACTGGATGTTTGGCGTATCGGGCTCGGGTGCATCGCTTTTTTGGAGAGCTGGAGAAATCTCACGACCGGGAGCATCAGACAGCCGGGAGAAAAAGAATCGAGGACCGTATCGCAAAGGCAAGGGCCCTTATCGGCAGACTGACAAGCTTCAAGTCGGATAATAATAGACCGCGAGTTGAGCGCACCGTTAGAATGGCATTTGCTGGGATAAATATTAGTTTGTCCCAGCCGGATATCACGCAGAAACTAACGGAGCGCATAGATGACCTGAAGCAAAAAATCGCTGCTTGGGGGAAGCGGTTCAACCAGAATCGTCTATTTCAGATTGATCAGAAGAGGCTCAATAAATCATTGGAGCGACTAGAGGTATGTGGAGCGGGCCCAGGACTGAATCAGGCCGATACTGTCGCATTTTGGCGTGGCCTGTAGTCAGAGCCCGTAAACCACAGCGAGGGCCCTTGGATGGAACTTGTGGCGAGCCAGAGTTACGCCTAACACTCGCAGTGTTACGCCTATGGACCCCGTCACCATAACGCCGGAAGACGTGGCTGTGGCGGTCCGTAGGGCTCCAAACTGGAAAAGTCCGGGGCTCGATGGGCTGCATCATTACTGGCTGAAGGGGTTCGTAGTGTGTCACGCTGTGCTCGCCCGAAAGTTTCAAGAGGCTCTCGATCAGAAGTCGCTGCCGAGTCTCTTCACTACTGGGATCACTCACTTGGTTCCCAAAGATCAGAATACCACAGACCCGAGCAAATACCGCCCCATCACGTGTCTACCCAACATATATACACTGACATTCATTTTGAGCGCGAGAATCACTCGTCACCTGGAGCTAAACCAGGTGATGTCACGCGCTCAAAATGGATGTCAGGGCGGTTGTCGTGGAACCAAGGAACCACTCCTCGTTGACGCGGTCATTGGCAAAGTGGTGAAACGCAACCGTCGGAACTTCTCCGCCGCCTGGATAGATTACAGAAAGGCATTCGACTCGGTGCCCCATACATGGCTAAAGAGGGTACTCGAGCTGTACAAGATTGACTGTACAGTAAGAGACTTCTTCGGGCAGTGTATGGGGCAGTGGAGTCCTTTGTTATCTGGGTGAGCGGATGAAGGCTGCGGAGAACCACATAAGGATAAGAAGGGGTATCTTCCAGAGCGATTGTCTGAGTCCAATCTGGTTTTGCCTCTCTCCGAACCCTCTCAGTACCTTACTGGAGGGATCCGGGTGGGGATTTCAGCTACGGAAGGGAGGGACAAAAGTTACCCACCTTTTCTATATGGATGACCTCAAGTTATTCGCCTGCAGTCGCTCCCGTCTTATGGAATTGCTAAACATCACTTGTGAATTTAGCAATTCTATTGGAATGGAGCTGGGGACGGATAAGTGTGCGATCCTCCATGTTGAAAGGAGAAGGATTTCTAACTCTGAGGGCATGAATTTATCTATGCCCGTCAACTTAAGGACCCTTTCCGAGCCTGAAACATACTGATATCTGGGTATGTCACAGAACATCGGTATCGATGAGGCTGGTACGAAACATAATGATTTATTCAATGGTACGAAACAGTCAGTTTGCGACGTGTTTTATGCACGCTTGACCAAAGTGCTTAACAGCCTTTTGTCCGGTGTGAATAAGACACACGCATATAACGGTTGGGTCATGCCTGTCCTCATGTATACCTTTGGCATACTCAGGTGGACTCAGACTGAACTTAACGCCCTGGATAAAAAAGTCCGCACTACCATGACGTCCCATAGGATGCATCATCCGAGATCGTCGGTAATGAGGCTGTACTTGCCGCGAAAGCATGGTGGGCGTGGCTTCTTGAGCGCGCTCACCATGCATAATCGCGAAGTGTGCAGCCTCCGTAATTACTTCCTGGCGACATCGGATGATCTATTCTATAAAGACGTCATTTCTTGTGATAAAGGACCCCTCTATCCTTAGCCAACGAGCAATGGCAGGGCCCGGCAGTGCAGAGCATTTCCGACCGGGAGACCGTATGGAAGGAGAAGGAGCTCCACGGGAGGTTCTACAAGGCTCTACATGAGCCTTTCGTAGACACAGTAGCCTCCCACCACTGGCTACGCTTTGGTGATCTCTTCGGGGAAACCGAGGGTTTTGTCTGTGCAATACAGGATCAGGTTGTTAAGACCAACAACTATCGAAGATACATCCTAAAGGATGGCACCGTCGACATCTGTCGAGCTTGTCGCCATCCCGGTGAGTCACTTAGGCATGTCATCTCCGGTTGTTCGGCGCTTTCTAACTCTGAGTACTTGCATAGGCACAGGCACAACCTAGTAGCCAGAATTCTACACCAGGAGCTCGCTCTGAAATACGGTCTCGTGGATCGTAAATCGCCGTATTAAAAGTACTTGCCGGAAGCCGTGCTCGAAAATGATCGCACCAGGTTCTATTGGGACCGGGCCTTCATCACAGACAGGACTATTCTCTCGAATAAGCCTGATATTGTGCGGTCCATCAGCACACCAAGGATATTTTTGGTCGACATTACCATTCCGTATGACAAGAACCTCGTGAAAGCCGAAAAAGATAAGCAAACAAAATATCTGGACCTGGCTCACGAGGTGACCGACATGTGGGGTGGTCTGCTAACCGAAATTATTCCTGTAGTCGTCTCTGCAAACGGGCTAATCCCAGTCAGCCTCTCGGGTCATCTGAGGCGGCTGGGACTACGTGGCAGACCACTACAGGCTGATGCAGAAGGCGGTGCTCCTCGATACCGCCCGAATCGTCCGCCGGTTTCTTTCCCTTTCACCCTAACCCTTGGCCGTCTGGTCTCCTCTACCGAGGGCTTCCATCTGGTTGGATCTTTATTTATTTATGCATTTTTTGTATTTATTTTATTTTATTGATATTTATGTATATTTATCTTTTCATTTTCATTTATAGTTATATATTTATAGAACCCAACTAGATGAGAAAACTATATTGATACCCCCATAATAATAAAATCCTTTATTTCGACCAACAATAGTCACAGATTGTTAGTAAAACAAACTTTAACCTAATGTTAGTATAAAATAAAGTAGAAATTAATATTAAAAAAGCAGTCTTGCTCCGTATTTCTACATGGTTGCACGTGTACAAAATTATTCTTCTGTTGTGTTCAGTTAACTCATAGCATTTTGTTTGTTATGTTAATAGTCACTATGTAGTGTTACCATGTAACTTTCTTTTAAATTGTGTTTAAGTTTTCGGCACTGTAGGTCAATTTCTAACAGATAAGTTTTTGTATTTTATTTCCTTAGTATACGACTGTTTGTTGCCAAAATAAATAAAACAAATGTTAGTAGCAATGGTACTTATCCTATATTAGTAATTTAAACTACACCCAGCCTCACATAGTGAAACCCAGGTGGGGTTCTCCTGGTGCTGGTGTGGGCACCATTCCAAGTCCTCCAGAGAGGGCTATCCAACCTCACAGCCAATGTGCTGAGAAGTTGTTGGAGCTCTTCAATAGCCTGCTCATCATGGACGTGGCACGCATGCGCATGACCGCGTAGAAGTCGTCCATATATACGACCATCCGCAAACATAGCCGACGCACTGCAGTCTCCTCAACATCACCCTCACATTGTTGTACTGAACACGCAGAGCACTGTAGGCATGCTGTGTATAATTAGTCCACCGACTGCAGGTGTAAAACTCCTGCGGAGGCAAACGAGCATGTGGCTCACCTGATGTACCACCTGAGTAGGTACCTACCACAAAGGCTTACAATTATATTAACCCAAGCAGATGGTATAGAACGTTTCTAGGGCAGGCGGAAAAAAGTACATTGACCTCGAGTATTATGTTAGCATCGAAACAAAACCACAGTTATTGCTTCCGTACATTTCTTAATAGATTACGTATCGTTATGCGCTAAGCGTGTCTCAGTGGTACGGGGTAGGGTGAAGGAAGCAGTCATCCAGAGATAATAAACCTGTTTCGATGCAATTTGCGATAGGTCTCACGCTGCTTTGGGATGCGCTTGCATGTAGATAGTTTGAGATTTAAAATTTTCGGTTATAGTAGTTGTTTTCATTTTCATTAAGTTTGTTTTGTTAGTTGTATTATAACGTTATGTACTAAAACTTTTGTAATTATTTTGTGACGTTTTCCAAATTATCATCACTAGTATGAAATCGGATCCATCGACATGAAAATCTCTCATGAAGACTTTACGTCACTACGGAAGAAGCGAAAAGTGTCGCATATTTCGGAAACCGAAAAAATAATGATTGTAAACATCTATAAATATGTAAAAGAAACGAGGTCTTGTGACGTATGAATATACGTCACTAGACCACTTTTTTATTTAACTTCTTTATTGAAATTAGAATGATTTGTGAGACCAAAAAAGCTTTGCAACTACTTCTACTATGCTAAAAAATAACGTATTATTTGAATTACAAAGCTTTTTGACTCTCAATGATGAAGTTGTTTTTCCTAAATTTTTATGAATATCTATACTTACATATTATAATGATGTAGTGTAAATTGATTATGTAATATTTTATTTCAAATATGTGAGTAGTGCGCGTCTTAAAATATTTTTTTAGCATGAAGCAATAAAATGAGTTTTGTTGTTGTAATTTTGAACACGTGTCTGTTATCAGAGGTCATGCTTTGTAATCAGAGGTCATGCTTGGTTATCAAGTTCATTCGATTTTTGTTTCCTTTTAACTAATACTATAAATTCAGAGACAATTCAAAACACAAACTTAACAATGTCAAAACTTGAGTCTACACAATATTATGCTGCACAAATTTTGACGGCATAAGAAATTTGTGAGCGTGTAGTTTCTTTAAGCTATAAATTAAGGAAATAGGTAAATTATAAAAAACAACATTTCTTTAACTATAAACGTTCCATTACAAGGACCACACTGTGTTTCATTTTTCATATAATTTAAAGTTTTTATTAAAGAACATAACTTGTTTTTCTTTTTTTTTTATTATATGCGAGCAGCTATGCAGGTCTAGGTGAAGAGACCAGTATCACTGCGACCTAAAAGATCTATTGTGATCGCTGCTATGGCTATAGTTTACGGCGAAGCCCTATGTCTTCAATGAATAGAAGGAGTTGCTTAGCCGTGAGCAATTTCACTTCTTCTGGGCAGAGTAGATAGTGTCCCAGATGAGTGTTACGTTTGCGCATTTAGGGTCCGCAATCGGTTAGGATGTGTAGAGGCGTTCCTTCCGTTATGGAACAGAACCGACACATCCTTGAGTAGCTTAGTCCCAAGATGGACATGTGCTTTTTAAGACAACAGTGTCCAGTTAGGGCTCTTGCCAGAATGCGCAATTTATTTTTACATTAAGTAAAAGGGCCCAGGGCTTCTGAAGCGAATTTAAGATTAAAAGCCCGGATTAAGGTTTTAGAATGTTTTAAGCCTGGTGTGTCAATCCAGATCT